TTTCCCTTTTCACGCCAGAGTTAGTTTCCTTTTTTCAAAATTGGACGGGGACATTTTTCCGCCAATAGTAACCCGGTAAATAATGGACCGCGTGTATTGTGCTCGACTTCGAACAACTGCACAGTCGCGCGCGGTAACGAGATCGACGAGCAAATTGGCGAAGCGCAGCGATCGGTATCGGCAATCTCGTCGATTGCACTCTGAGCGGAATTGAAATGCAGGCTCGTTCTTGCCATGTGCTCGCTGAAAATCAATGATAAATGGCGCTATCGTCGTACATCCCTGAATTTTTCAAAATCTACTCACGGCATATTGCTTTCATTTAACTATCAATAAATTTTTTTATTCACTCGCGGAGCGTGCCATTTTTGCACGTCAATCATCGAATTTTTCGACACTTATCCGCCGTACTTTGCTGTTGTTTAGTTATTCACGAGTTTCTCGAAAATTTATTAGCGAGTGGCTTTTTGATAATTTTTCAAAATTTGCTTTTGCGTGACAAGAAATTGTTTCGCATAATAATGGCATGGAGGCGACGGTTCTGAAAGAAACTGACAGGAATAAAAAATGACTCGGACAAACATTGCACCTGTTCACTGTTACTGTTTTGTGATGCAATAGCCTCATTTATTTTGCGCGAATCGGTTTTCACGATGACGGCGTCTCGCAATGAAAAATGAACATCCGCGCGAGACGAGAACCGATGGAAACAGCCGTCGCCTGCCGCCGTCACCGACGTTGAGGAGAATCGGAAACGATGGATGAATGACAATCGCGTATTGGATGGTCGATCCTCTTCCTGCCAGCTGAAATGGCATGCCAATTTATAGCGGATTGATTAAGACTTGGATAAAGTACGCGATGCTTGGCAAAGGAGCAACCTTTTGTGTTTCCTAGCCAATACGTGACGCCAGTACGCATTTGTAATCCAGACGTTCTTTCAAAACGTCGCCATTAATCCTGCGCCTATCTGATATCGGAATTTCTGAAACAATATTCGCGATCCGGATAAATGGCCCCGACGGTGGTGCGCCTCCGCGCCGCGCGATATTAAGGTTACATAAATCACTATTGCCCAAGCGCGGTACAATGTACTGCGAGAACCATGTGCACCGGCATAATTTTGCCGATGATCGATCACTTTTCCCGTTTCACTTCTTTTTGAAAATGCAGGTTCCCAAGGAAGCGGAAAGTCAGTGATTTATGCACAGTTATTTAGCATTTAATGTTTACAGATTTTGGCAAATTGGCTACAAGAACGCGAATCGTTGCGAAACTGTAAAGCGCTGCGCAAGATAATATAAATAACAGATTTCACAAAGAAATTTATTTATATTATAATAAATATTTAATCTTGAAACGAGAGTCGCTAAAGAGATTCAACTTGACTTTGAAGTTAAATTTTTCTTGTTTGCATTTTGCTATTGAACTTTACATTCGTCACGATGTCTTACATAACCATTCCATTGAGGAAACCGTACGTTCGCCAAAAAAAGAAGGAATTCTGATTTATGCTCATGCGACCGCGCGAAGATTTTTAATTGCGAGTGTCGATGCCCGGGCTTTGTCAACATCTGCACAATGACGTCTCGCGGTTTCCTGGTCGGTCGTGGCGACAGATGTTGAACGCGACTGCGGCGACGAAGGCGAGGTGGGCGAGAGATGTCGAGAAGATGAGGAAGAGAGAAACTGAACGGGCTGTTTCAGCGCAGACTGGTTGGCGTCCTCGTCCCCTTCGTGAATCGCATTTCAATTGGACCTCGCATTAAGCAGCCCGCGTGTGCACATTCTTTAACCTTCGCCGATGCAGGCGGTAGATCGATATGAGCACACGCAATACCGTAGTCAAGGAATAGCGTGTAAAAATAAGCATAATCTGTTTTGAAATATTTTTATTAATAATATTATAAATATATTAATACATTAATGATAATAATTTAGTTCATCCTGAAATAATTAGTTAAATATTACGGAACTACGGCTTTAGAGATTTTCTTTCTCTTTCCAGCGGCTGTAATTTATTTTCCGAAAATAGCCGGCGAATATAATTAGATCGAGGAGAGGATTCTTTTTCCTTTTCTCTTTGATTTCAAAATTTAAATTGTTTGTTTAAACCGTGATGAAGGAAACAATAAAGGAAGACTTATGTTCGTTACGCTACTGTAGGATACAGCGCAAAAGGAAGTCGAGTAAATGCGAATCAATGGCAAGTCCTATTGAAAGCAGAAGCTCCGCCGAGTAAGAACGAGCAGGACGCGTTCTTTACGTCATACCGGAGTCAACGCACTGCTTTTTCCGCGCGACAGCGAAGCACCTGCGTGCACACGCCTGCACGGCTTCTGAATTCTTAACACGCGCGTACATTGCGACCACGCGATGGAGGAATGAAACGAGCCGCGAATCGTCACAGTCGTGTGCGCGCAATTACCTTAATTGCATATTTGCGATAATTGTTATAATCACAGTTTACAAGTGCAATTGCACTCAGCAGTGATTGTAACACTTGTTACAATCGTGGCGAAAACTTTCTGCAAATAAATTAACGATAACCGGTGCGAATAATTAGTATTTAAATATGTGTATATAGAAGTAATTATAAATTATATATAAAAATTATTAACGAGACATTATTAATATTTTCACCTAGCATTACAAGTTTATCGATATTCTCCATTCGATATTGGCGTTTCGGCGTCGATACATTGTTAATAGTGAAAGTAAAGTATTCGCGCCAAGAAACCATCAGAATATCGAAACATACCGAACAGAATTTAGTATTCTCTAGCGACTGGAAGACAATATTCTGTATTACATCAATTAAAATTCTCATTCTAATAAAAATTTTATATCTTATTGTAACAAAACAGAAACAGTGATAATGATTTTTGATGTAACTAAATTTAAGAAGCATATTTTTGCCAGTGGAACTTTATCAGCTGTGAATTAATGTGGAAACACGATGCCGAGAGTGCGATTTAATGCGAGGCCACTGTTTATTAATGCACGGCTGGAGTCGCGCGTAACATCGATAATTGCTCTCAGAAGTTCGCACGGTATAATCTGTCTCCTTTCTCCAGCGCTTAGGCTAAGACAGGGCGAGATAAATTGGGTCAGGGAATCAGCCGAGCACTATATCGTGTGATAATTAACGGATATTATATGAAATTTATAAGAAAATGTCATTGCTTGATTCATAGCACGGGAGCACGTAACTAAATATATCTCCGCTGGTGTGTGAATAGTGCATTCCGACAAAAATGTCGAAATAAACGTGATAATTTATCGTCACTAACATTTTCCCGAGATTTAATTAATTTACGACTGTGCGTAAATTTCCCAACAATTTTTGAATGTCGTTACACACTTTTTGTGCGCTCGTGTAAAGTGTGTCACTTTCCTGAAGTGATTTAGAGATTATAGAGAAAGTCATTATGCGCGTTGCTTTAAAATTACTTTAAGAGCTGTAAAATAATTTTATATTAGCAGTCTTAAACTTGATTTGTGTGTCATCTTGGCACACACATTTTTCCACTACCTGGCAATAAATTAATTGATTTTGAGATAAAAGGAGTAATAATAGATATAAACTTTTTATCTTTATTTATGTTATACATCTTTTAATTTTATTTTTTGCGACAATAAAATTTCTCTGAATGTAAATAACGAATTATCGCATTTAGATATAAGTTTACCTTATGTCTCGTTAAATGCATACGGAAGCAGATGCACGTTTTAGTTGCAAAGTAAATTCGCAACTGTTACGAAAATAGCAAATGGCAACTATCAAAACTCACGTAATAGTTTGTCGAACGAGGAATATATTATCTTACTTCCTAATGCGAGAGGCAATTTGCTTAGAAGAATTGTATCTTGATTACGAATATTCGCAACAGGTGGACGATTCTAGCGAACTTTTGCTTCTCACGCGCGAAGAGAATACGCGTGCACAATTTTACTATGCGAATTTTGAAGCGCCAGTAACGACGTGTTTTATCGCCGCCGTGTGGTGTGTAGATAAGCATCGTATTACCTTCGGGGCCGCTATGCGAGTGCATACGTTAATATGCAAGTATCTCCGTACGCTTATTCGGGGCTTACTCGGAATGGGAGCAGGTGCGCACATTCGCATTCTGTCGTTGCGCCCGTCTCATGGCACGTGTTCGAGTTGTCGCGCAGTTTTGAAACGATACCATGATGATGAAACTTTTATGAGAATATGGCATATATATGTGTCGACAGGTAGTTTGCTATTATTAGAAAAACCTTCTCATTTTATCTTGATGCAATATTTTATTTAACGACGTTTATTCGGAACTTTTGTCATTAAAAAGTTATTAAATAAATTTCCGTTGATAAAAATATAATTTACTAGTGTATCATTTTTATAGGAGTATTATATTATATATTCTTTTTTTACTGTTTTTACAATGTCACTTACAGAGCAGACGATAAAACACCATTTTTCGAAAATCAGAGCCATTCTTCGGCTGCTAATTTGCCGTAATAAAGCGGGAATTCTTGGCGCGAATTAACGTGGTGTTTCTGGCGAGAAACCAGCGGACGCGGTCCTTTGCTTAAATCATGGCGAGTCCAGTTAACATTAATTGAACCACATTATGGCGCGCGGTCCGTTCGTACGTCGTGTGTGGGCCGTGTAGACCTTCGACGGGTCCACTCTTTCACCTTTGCTTCTTACGAAATTGCCTCACGTCGATTCTGCACGCGTTCAAGGTCAATGCATTCTCCGCTCGACAAGGCTCTTCCTGTACAAGCCTCATAAATGTTGAGATAGCCGCGTGTGAAATATTTTGTATTCTGTCAGATCGATTCTGCATCTAACTGATTGTATTTGTGATGACAACTTATCTTATTCTATGAATCATTTCATAAAACATGGATATTCTATAACTAGTGTCTTTAAATAGTCTATAAGGTAACGTAATATATAATAATATAATAGTTGTATATTTATTTTAATGTATTTATTTCTTTGTTTTCAGGTAAGTCATCTTGTGACTGACACTATTATAATTCAATGTTGTCTTACGTCCACCATCAAGGGATTTTCGTGAGTAATAAACAAAATTCTATATTTCTGTGATCAGTATTGATTTCAATTTATTGATCCATTAACGCTGACATATGTCTATGCGTCGATCTTAATTATTTATTAATAACAAATTAGATTTTATTGGTTTCTTAAAATTTACTTATATATTGATATTCTCGAATATATAATCTAATTTTTTCTCAAAACTGTCATATGTTTAAAGCATCGATCAAAAAATTGTACATTTTTTTCCATCACTATTCTTATTATTATCTATTCACTTCACGTCACGCGTAGTAAATATTCACGCATGCATGAACACCCGGATTGGCGTTAGTGGGTTAAAACTGGGTTCTCGAAAACCAGTAGCACGCGAATAGCGTGCTGCATTACGAATGGATCGAGACTAATCGCTTCGCGCGCCTTTTGGTTAATCGGCCGGCGGTGTTGTTGCACTTGTGCGCATTGCTATTCGAAAAGCGGCAGGTCTGACTCACCGGCGAACTGTGTCAGAAAACGGAACGCGACTTCCGAGTAAACGACGACTTAGCACCCACCCCCGTGCGTTTCTCTCTTCTGCGTTCCACGGTCTGCGTTTTCGTATTGGCAATTAGTGGCGCGCGTCGGAGGCGTAACGCGTAACGGGTGGTACGGAAATACCGCTCTTAGCACTGATGATGCGAACCATCCCTCGCTGCGACCGTGAAATCGTCGGAATAATTTGGAAAAGTTACAAAAATAGAAATATTTTTACACAAAAATTTAAAAAATCGATTAAGTCATTAATATAAAAATGCACTAGTTTTTTAACAATTGTATTTTGAGTACAGTTTTTAACGCTATTAAATTTATCATTATAGTATTATTGTAGCAGATCTTGATTTACTTTTTAATTTCGACAAAAGATATCCATACAGATAGCCAAATATTTACAATGTTGGCAGATTAATAGCAAATTTATTCCATAAATTTTCTCCAATTTGATGAAATTTACTGTCAATCTGCCAACATTGTTAACATTTTTGCTTACTGGAATATATAGTCTTCAGCACGGTACAAGTTTGAGGCATAAATGAATGCTACTTTTAAACCGGATGCATTATATATGAGGTGGAGTGTGATTTTTTGCGCCACCGGGTGGTGCTCGTGACGAAGAGGGGACTCGAGAACGGTGAGAAAAAAGGGCGGCGAGAGAGAAAGAGGTAGAGCGAGAAAGTCACTCTCTCAAGTATTTATACATCTTCGCGTTCGCGGCTGCGGGAGACAGGCGCTTTTCCTAGTAGACCCGGAATAGATGCCGAAGAGAGAGAGAGGCTGAAGAGAGGAAGGGACAAAAGGCTCGTCTTCGGCGGGCCCTTCGATCTCTCACGACCGCATTGTTAATTACAATTTGTTTTTCTTCGCGCCAAACGTGCGAGCACCTGTGCCTATATCGGCGTTCTCGGAAAAGTCGTGACAGAAATCGCCGACAGGCCCTTTAATGACGAGCGTCGTTTATTCTCGTTGTGTGTGCCAAGCTTGTTCGCGGGAACTTTGTTCAAATCCGTATTCCAAACCCCGATCCTCTTTCGCTGAACTCGGTAGGGGGGGGGGGGGGGAAGTTTTAAATCGAAGTTCGTGCTTCTCGTGTCACGCGAAAAATTGTGCTCCTTAATTAAATGGCTTTTATGTAAAAGAACCCAAGCGCCCTTAATTGAGAAATAGGATTCTAAAGTTCCCTCTAAGACTTAAAATTGTCACAGTATCTTGTGATAAGAATAATTCATAAAATGATAATGCGATCTTTGGTCCATTTAACGAAATAATTCTTGACTTTAAACTGTTAACGCATAATTAATGTACAAATGTTAAGAATAGAGTGGACAAATGTACAAATGTTGTACAAATGTACAAATGTTAAGAATAGAGTGGAATAATGTTAATAATTTTGACAGAAAAAAATAGCTTTTTTATTTTGTCGAAAAGAAGAGCTCACGGAAAGAGAGCTTGAATATTCCCGCTGAAACAGAATCGAGAAAGGCTGTACTCTATTTCACACGAATAATTATCTTATCTATGCGCTCGCGTATCGCATCATACCGCAATCTGGCGCGTGCATTATTTGCTTGCAAAGTTGGCGCACAGAAGGTAATCCGATTACTTAATTGCACCGGGAGCTTCTCTGTGCAAATTTAATTGCGGACGTAATAATGTTTCGTCGCTGCATATCAAACGATTTTACATATCAGTAGACTTTCGCCGGCAGTAGGCTTTCGCCGTGTAAAGCAGAAAGGCTTATTATGAAGTAATAAAAAACTAGTTGAACAGAAACTAATTTATTTACCGTGTGTACGTCGATACTCTGTGCTGTCGATGATAATTCTCGTATTATGGACGAAATTATGTGCTTGTTGCAATTCGCGCGTTTGCCTATTAAATGTAATTTAAATACAATTTAACGAACGTATTTATTTTCAATCTTGTATTACATATGTATATACTAGTTATTATAAACATTGATAATGAGATATGATAACCGATAAAATATCCAAAGAATAAACTGTTTTTTAATTTTGAAATATTTGGGTACATTTATTCTTTTTTTTTTGTTTGTTTAAGATAAATTTAGTAAAAAGATTATTATATTATAAATTAGTAGACGCGCGTCTTTCTTCTATTGTTAGAGCTTTTATGTATTTAATAATGAAAAAGTCTCAAGATTAAACATAGCACAGAATTAAGTTTAAAATAATCTCGGTGTATGAAATACAAACAGAAAGCATCCAATTTCTTGTTGATCTGTAATTGTGGTAGCAATTAACTAATTACTGTGTCTCGGGAACATCGCGGTCGTAAGGTCCGATTTTCTCTGATTACAAAGCGCACCGAGTCCGAGGAAAAACTTTGCTTTGTTTTCCCCATGTTGGTTTAACTCGGGATACACGTATATCATTCGCGGATCAATAAACCACAGGGATAACCAAGTTTTACTTCCCTGTAGAAAAAACGCAGAGCGTATTCGAGTTTAGATTTTACTCTGAATCGAAGAATCACCAATCATGGATAAGCCATTACTCATCAGTTGATAACATTAATGCCAATAACGCACAATTTACTGGAAAATGTAAAATTTGAATACAACAATCAGTCTTTATTTCCGATCCAAACGTGTATTTGTACAGAAATGTAAAAAAATTTGCCGACCTTTATTTTTCTTGGCTCGAAAGAAGATGAATATTTCCGCCGGAATAATAATTTAACAAGATCTTTGGCAAGCGAAACTCGAGACATCTTACATTTCATTCTGCGAACGGAATAAATCGTGTAGTTTCTTTTCTATTTGCTGGAATAGAAGCATCCCGGGAAGCCGGATAAGAGTTAAGGACGGTCCGAGTCGCGGGAACGTTGAATGATAGAGAGAGCGTGGCGGTGAGCCGAGTGGAACCGAGCGGAATGAACGGAATAGAGGGGCCTGCGCCTCGTCGGGTTCGCGAGGAGAGCAAGAGAGTAGTTACCGAACGGATGAGTCACTCACTGCCGCGATTGCTGCCGATACTCAGCGGCGTGTAACCGGCTGGCAGCAGGCTGCGATAGGTCGCCGCACCTTGCCTCTCATTCTTCTTCGTTCTCGGAGGCCCTCCGGGCTCGCCTTAACTCTAAACTCGACAAAGCTAAGGAACCGAGCTAAATTTATGTCGCGATGAAAGGTCCAGTCACAATCGACATTTCAAATTTCTCTCTTTTCTTCTCTCTCTCTCTCTCTCTCTCTCTCTCTCTCTCGTGTTATTTAGAGTCCGAAATTATTCTGTTAGCTAAATAATTATCTGTCATGTAATTTTGAATTAATTTCCATTTATGGAATATAAAATTTTACTCGATAAATGTCTCGACTGATTCTTTTCATGTCTTCGCTCAAGACTGAGTTTCACTTTACTAGTCACGAAGCTTGAGCCGAGATTCGGACAAAAGACGCAACGCAGCATTGAAAGTGCAGCGAAGGGTAAAATTGGATCATTTAGATCTATACTCGTAGAAGAATGATCCGCGTCATTGATTACGAATCCGATGGGAATTCACTTGGAGAAAGACTGCCAGACAGAATCCTTCATTTTGTTCATAATATATTCATAATATATTCATTTTCCAACTTCTGAAGCATTTTCCAGGTGAATTTGATTCATCTGAAGTTTTCGATAATTAAATCAATAGGCTGCAGGTAGAAATTAATTCCAACATTTTGCTTAATTAAAAGATTTAGCGCGAGAACGAACAATATCCATAATTTGTAGAATCTTTAAAAATATGAATGTATGCATTTTATATTTAAATAAAAGTCGAATAAATCCGTACATTAATTATGTATTTTAAGAAGTGCCGAGAATAAAATATCGCCTTACATATATTAATGAAACACGCGATTTATTCCGCAACGGAAACATCTCCGGGAAAAGTGGTAGAACGCTCTCAGGCCGTGTCATAATAATTAGAGAAACTACTCGGATGACGCGGAGGCGGGCGAAAAAAAGAGAGAGAAATATCTCCGTGCATTTCAAAGGGCGTTTTCTACCTATCGCCGTCTCGCTTCGTCGGTTTTAATATACCGACCTGTCCGTTTCTTCCGGCCGCATTGCATCTTCATCTCTCCCTTTGAACTTTTCACCATTGCGCGTGTCGCGAGCGCAAACGCCACCGGGCGTTATTATGAAGCCTACCTCCTCGACAATTTCAACCGCACGGAGCATTAGTTGCAAATGCGAGACTGCATTGCACCGCAAGCTTGACAACAAAATTCTAGGATTTGCGAAAGCTGTCGCGAAAAAATATGTGAAAAAGAATTTGTTATAATGTCGCAAAAATTATTTATAATTATTGAAAATATTTTTAAAGCATTAATATGTTTTATATTATATAATTCTATATATACAAAGTATTAATAAAGAAGATTAATACAAGCGGAAGTGAAAACGTAGAGACATCTTTAATTTACTTAGGAATAAAAAGAGACTCTTTACTTTTTGATTTTTCGTAATACCTTTTATTTCTTTACACGCTTTAGAATTATATTTGATAACTTTTTGAGATGTAATTTTTATCGTGGAAATTTTGGAAACTTATAAATATCGTTATATTATCAATGGAGCGTCTCTTGTTACTTCAGTCAGAGAATGCTTGATTATTTTTAAACGCCTCACAGGAGGCAGGATTCACTCTAAAGTGATGCTCTCGAATGCTGCCTGCGGTTAGAGCCGGCGAGAAGTCTCTTTCGGCTCGCCGACGTTATTTCCATCCCGATGTTTTCCGACGCGCGCGCGAGTCTTTCTCTGCGGAATTTCCTGATGAGAAACTCGCGCGGTTCGCCCGGTTGGCGTTCCTGAAGAGATTGCTCGACTTTCTCGATTGTATCCGTGCGATGAATAAGTCATCCCGTGCGTCGATTTCAAATGAAGCTGGCGCGGAAACTCTCAGTAGTTTGAGCTTTCACGAAATAATACGCTTTTTCACACACACACGCTGATTCTGATAAAACTGAATTAAAAGACATCTTTCGTTTTATTTCTTCTTTATTGCATTCTTCTAAACAAATGAATTATAACGATGAGAGACTTAAAATACAAGCGTATTACGTAAAAATTACAGGGTAGAATAGCAAGTAAGAATAATATCGTGTTATTTGTGAAATGTGAGACATAAAAGTATGACGTAAAAGACCTTTCGGGTTTGCTCATCGCGGATAAAGGCGGCGCAATTCATACTAGTGGAACGGAATGACATTAATCATTGGAGACCGCATTAAAGTCTTTATTTAATCCCACATCTCGGGCGGCACTAAACGAAGATGTTTTTTGTTGTCTAGTGCGTGGGCTCGACTGGATTTCATACCACGCATGTAGTACTTTTGTTCGCGTGTGTTTGTTCATTGCCTGCGTAATCACACGCAAATAAGCAGCAATCTCCGACTCAGTCCCAGGAGCGCCTTTGAAACTGTCAGCGCAACATGCGCGAAAGATATTTATAGCTTTTAAATATGTATACTTCGTACTCATAACAATTAATGATGAAATAAAATTTCCTTTGTTATTACAATATTTGAATCTAAGTCAAATTATACGATCGATATTTTGGAACAAAAATCGGTGATAAAGTTTTAATATAATTTTTATTGTTCCGAGGATTTTTTGCTTTATGTGTATTTTTGTATTTTTAAAAAGTCTGATAATTTGTTATATTCGCGCGCACTCGACTTTACTTAAGGTATTCCACGAGAATTTTACATAACATTTCCCAAAATTTTAATACAATGTTACGGTTACAAAGTTGGATAATAATCGGACAGGCGAGCATATTTTATATTGAGAATTGCCTACTTTTTATTCACACGGTATTAATTATTTCCGCCGAAAAGTATTAATTATTAAAGTATCGATTATCGAGACTGACGCAATGTGAAATGTATTGAGGAATGAAAAGGCGCGGGTTCGTTAAGCTGGGTATACACTTAGCGAACGAACACCGAACGAACAGCGAACGCGAACGTTCGTTATTATCATTCATCAGATGTATACGCCGAAACAAATGCGAACAGAACATTCGATTCGCATTCAGCTGGGTATACACTTAGCGAACGAACACCGAACGAACAGCGAACGCGAACGTTCGTTATTATCATTCATCAGATGTATACGCCGAAACAAATGCGAACAGAACATTCGATTCGCATTCGGATCCGTTCCCTCATGAGGCGGTACATCAAAGAAAATTCGTGCGCGATATGGACGCGCACGGGTGCT